AGCGCGCAAAAATTACAATTGCGCTACACATGTTACATATCGCCGCGAACGTCGCAGTGAGAGCAATCATTTTAGGGCCATCAATCACTGATAACACTAAACTGATGAGCGGTAACAGCTTTTAAAGCGTCGCCTAGGGCCAATTTTGGGTATTATTGTTTTTTGAGGTTTCGCGCGCGCGCACGCAATTTTAAGGCTTGACATGTTTAGTGTCTTTTTACCCGACGTGACCCCATCTTTTATATTTTACCAAAAAATTGGGTAATAATAAATGTTTTATCATTTAATATAGGGGAAACTGTTTTTTTTTTTTAAATTTCGGTAATTTTTCCTTAATATAGTAAAAAAATAAAACCCCCAGTGGTGAATAAATACCACCAAAAGAAAGCTCTATCTGTCCCCAAAAAAGGGTATAAAATTCATTTCAGTACAGCGCTGCATGACGGAATAAATGTCAGTCAAAGTACCGCAGCGCTGAATACTGAAAAATGGCCTGGATGGGAAGGGGGTTTAACACCGCGGATGTCAACTGGTTAAATACCACCAAAAGAAAGCTCTATCTGTCCCCAAAAAATGGTATAAAATTCATTTCAGTACAGCGTTGTATGACGGAATAAACGTCAGTCAAAGTACTACAGCGCTGAATACTGAAAAATGGCCTGGCCAGGAAGGGGGTCTAAACACCTGGTCTTGACGTGGTAAAGGGTGAGAAGTGGCATCCACCACACTCCAGCTTAATAAATATGACTGGAATGCTGTAATAGCTGTAGAATCATAGCAATTTGGCATATAGAATGAATTGCTCATTTTGAATCTTTTCAATAACTATCCACCAGTTTTCTTGTACCTCTGGTCAATGTACCCCACAAATAGGTCATCACATTGACTGATCACATCTGCTAATAACTATCTGTAGGTTGCATTAAATAAAAATTATCTTTTATGTGTCTAGATAGAATTTCCATCTTTTGTCCAACATGCAGCATGATATAGAATCCAAATATATGTTTGCAAGATTGGCTGTATGGTTTGCCCTACAGTATTTATGATTTGTGAACCTGAGCCGTGCAGACAGAAATACCTATTTCACAATATTGTCTGCCTCCCCCCTTCCTAATCACAATCTTGACTTATCCTGACTAGCCTGTAGCAATGTATAATTACATACACTCTCTCTTCATAGGGTTCTTTTATACTGTCACAGCATCCCTTCCACTTCCAGCTCCTCATGTTTCTCATAGACCCGGTACCAACTGTGCTTGGATACAATAAAACTATTTATGCATATCCTTACTCTTTATACTGCGATGAGAAGATGGATTTGTAGCTAGAAAGCTGTCACTGTGCTCTTCTGCATTTTCTTTTTCACCCCAGGTACAGATGAGCATAAATGCCTCATATTTTAACACTGTCATTTTTCTGTTTTAATTCTTCAGATGGTCTCTCTTTTTTAAAAAAAATATGATTTGCTTTGTGGAATATATTCAGTATGAAAGCACTTATTTTGGAAATCTTTTCTTCATCATGTGGAGCAATTATTTGAAAAATGCATAGGCTCCTATCTACTTAAAATGATAAAGATGTTTTTTATTTGGAGGCATTACATGGAATTAAATTTTTGTTTTTGATCCATGTAAAAGGAGGGCCTAATAGCAAGAATGCATTTGAGAATGTGTGTGGGGGGAATTTATAGATAGATGGATAGATATAAAATAAATCACTTTGCCCAGTTAAAACTGAATTCTTTTCAGGCTATAGCATTCCAGCATGTTTGGCCAATATGCAGTTCAAACAGTCGCAAAGCTATAGCTGATAAACACTGTTTAAAGTGACACAAGGTCAGGAGTTAAAGCTTAAAAATGCATTCAATTGCCTTAACTGTTAACAAAAATGTATTTTATTTGTGCATCTCTCAGCTGTAGATCCTCAAATCATCTCTGAATTGGTGCTGACACTGTCCCTTCTGGAGGGGGGGCTACTTTTGTTCGACATGGTCCCTTTGTGTGTTTATAAAGTATCCACTCCAAGCTCGCTCCTGTGATGGACTACAATCTCATGTTTAGTTTACTAATTTGTATTGAGATCGTAGTGCATCACAGGAGCGAGCTTGGAGTGGATACTTTATAACACACAGGGACCATGGGGAACAAAAGTAGCCACCCTCCAGAAGGAAGGACATTGTCGATACAAATTCATTCTTCTGGATGGTTGCTTCTTTTGTTCCCCATAGTCCTGGTGTGTGCCATAAAGTATCTACTTGCTCCAAGCTCACTCCTGTAATGGACTACAATCACAATAAAAATTAGTATATTAAACGTGAGATTGTAGTCCATCACAGGAGTGAGCTTGGAGCTAGATACACAAATGAAAGACACATCTGGGCTTCTTTCTATAGGATGTAGGAGGCGCATACTCTACCTTGTGGCATGCTGTTAGGGGAGCACTAGGGTTTTAACATTTGCGTGTAGCCCAGCTTCAGGAACTTCCTGAGCACCCAGAATATAATATTGTGGCACACCATGTAAATAGCTAATTATGCTGTTTTAGCCGCCAGGGAAGTATCATTTTATTCAACCAGTGTTGTGATTTCTTCCAGAGGGTTCTCTTCAGGGCACTGCGGCATAGAGTCCTGTCATCTGACCTGCTAAAGTCATGAGACAGGCTTCCTCCTTCTCTCCAATTACTTCTAACCATTATTCGTAATGAATGGGGATTCGGAAACGAGCAAAGCAGAAACAATGTTTGTAAAACACAACACTGTGCTTAAATAAATGTGTTAGAGTATATGGTGTGGTTAGGCCTTACCACTTCCTTGTATATTGTTTATTCATGTTCATAGTGAGCTACTGAAATTACCAAGATCAGGGATATTTTGCAAATTTACGCCGTCTAGTTCATTATTCAAAGGAAAAGTACTATCGTCGCTGATCGATAAACACATTTTTCAAAAAAAGGTGGATGCTTTCCAAAGCAGAAAACTGTGGGGGAACAGACCCGTTTGTAATTGGACTCAAACACTTTTTGTTTGTATTACATGTATAGTCTGTCATAAAAAAAATTATGCTGCACGCTACACTTTTTTTCCCCTCTCAGCAGTAGCTCCATGTTGACTGCCATTTTGTCCAACAAGGTTATTTGAAATTATGCATTAAAACCTTGTCCTCATAGAAACATAAAGCGGTTCCCTTCCTTTCCATTCTTAATTTTGGGTTTCTCTTTTAAATTGGTTGTACTCTTTGAAGAGCTTGTTTGGGAACCTCTGCAATACACATTTAACCTTTAAATATAGTCTTGTGCTGTATAGCTTAATGGACTCATAATGCATGATTACACAAGTTTAGAGCCAGCCCTGTTAAATGAAGTGGTGACATTTTACGCGCAGTTAAGCAAGCTAGAACAATTCTCAAGCTTTTAGCTATGACTTCACTGCAGTGTGCTGAAAAAAAACCCTGATGTTATTGTAGACTATATTCACTGAAAAGCGTGTTTCTTTTTGTATCCTAGTAATTAGTTGTGGCAAGCACAATAACCAATGGGTATCGAAGGACTGGTGATGCTGTACGAATGCTGGAGATGCAATTTATCTTCTTTGCTACTTTAACTATTTTGTCAGAAGTGATTGGTAACTACCTTCATCTACTAGGGCCACACATAATTTTGTAGATGCCAAAATAATTCAGCAGTCTAATCACTGCTGTAAAGACCCAATGTGTGGTGTTTTTTCAAGCCCTTTGGTTAATGATATATTAGTAATCCTGTTTTGTCGTACATTGATTCCCATGCTCCCTTAAATGTATCAACATTTGCATTTCTAAAGCTGTTTATCCCATTGCTGGAGAGCTAGAGCTGTCCAATCCAGAAGAATAAGCTTTGCTAATTGGATATCGGTAGGTGTGATTCAGAAGTGTGTGTTGGACTGCTGCAGAGAGACTGCTGCTTCCACACAGAGAGCAGCAATCCTCCACTGCAGCATACTGGTGTTGGACAGGCTTTCCTACTCTGGATGTCTCTGCTTTACAAAGTGAATGAACTGAAAGACTTTTAAAGCACCTTTTGTGCTTTGATACGCTTTTAAATGTATTTTGTGAATTTAAAAGGAAAGTGCATTCTCGGGCTTTAAGAGACTTTGTTTATATTCCCTAAGGAAAATGTTTAAAAACACTGTTGTAACTAGAGATATTTATAAGTATCCATTGTAGATTTTTAGTTGTCTTTTAAAGGCTTCTACATTCCTTCTGAGAAGGAATCTTTCTTTTTTACTAAAAGTTTTGACACTAGTGGCTTAAAAGAGAAGGGACATTGACAGAACAGTGTATTAATAATCTGGCCATAAGAGAGCATGCTTGGACCTATTCTTAGTCACTAATAATGGATCACATCTGTAATAATCTAGCACTGTACAAAAGTATGGTGGCTAGTGTGACTATAAATGAACCTGTCAGAGACATGGGAGCTGCTATTAATAGCTTGTTTTTGAATCTGGAAACTCAAGGGCAGTCATCTTAATTTATTGTTAATTTACATGTGCATATCAAGTATCAGGACACCTAATATACATATGCTTGTTTTGTGATATTAAAGTATAAATAAGCACTAGTTTTTTTTTGCATATATCTACTGCTAGCCAGCAGTATATATTTGCAAAAACATAAAAAAAAAAAGTTACCAAAAAGGTAATTACTTTTGTCACCGCTACTTGCTCCCGTCTAAAGATCTGGAGCTTCACGAGCGGCTGATCAGGATGATGGGGCGGGGGCATGCGCAGTAGAGATCTTCGGCGGCGTGAAGAGGAGAGACACGGCGGAGGTGAATGCACGCAGCCATGAGCGTGCACTTAAGACAGACGCCACGGGATCTGAGGTGTTTGCCCTGAATCAGAGACTAGCACCAGCGCTGTAGTGACTTCTCTGTAAGGTAAGTCCTTAAAGCAGCATGGGGGGAGGGAGGAAAAAATGTGTGACTTGAATGTCACTTTAACGCTCTAAGTATTATGACAGACTCAAAACATGCACCTGGTACATCCAAGATAATTAGATTATTATTTTTGGTAGTGATGCACCAATACCGAGCATTTGCACAAGTACTTGTGCACATGCTCAGATAACAAATACCGAAACAGGAAATGTATTTAAATTAAAGTGGCTGCCTTAGTTCCTGTGCCTGTTTTACAGCGCTTCTGCCAGCCCACACATCTCCCCCTTCTGAGACCCTCCTCTCGTCTCCCTCTCCTAAAATCCTCTGCCGGAGACCTTATGGGGGCTGGCTGGCCGGAGCAGAGCAGTATCATAGAGTATGTACATGTATAATGCAACAAAACTGCACCTGAACTCCACAGCTACTTTAGAAATATTGCCTGCTGTTTCTGTCCTGTGCTTTATTCTGCACTGCTGTATAATGTATTGCTGGGATTTGTAGTCCTCTATAGTTGGGGGTATTCTGCATTTCTGTGTAATGTATTGCTGAGATTTGTAGGCCCTCTACAGCTTGAAGTCAGTGTCAGAACTACCCCTGCAATCCTGGCGCTCCATCACTGTCCTCAAATCATTAGTGTGTATTGTTTTAGAAAAACTGTCTAAAAAAAATGGTATCGGCAAGTATTTGAGGAACAGCATTGGTGCTTGTACTTGGTCAGGAAAAAATAGTATCGGTGAATCCCTAATTTCTGTTGTACCTCATATGCCCAATGTCCTTGTAATACAGTGGCAACCTCAAGCATCCCTCAAGATGAGCCTAACATAATGTAAAACCAGGCCCTGTTTAGCTGAAATAATGTTCGCCGGTCCAAACTACCGTATACATTTCTGTTTATACACCATTTATTACATGTACACTGCTGCTTGGTTGTTAAAAAAAAAATCACTTTTATGCAACTCGATGTTTTGTTGCAGTATTGCATTATATGTTTGCTTGTACTAAACAGAGTTGATGTAGCTGTAAAGAGCCCATAATTTTATTGGTTATTATATTTGGAACTAAAATATATGCTAATTAAATGTTATTTACATTATATAAAATGATGCCCAATTGGTACAATATTTCTGCTGCATAGTCAGTCAGTTTATTTTTATTTATTTTTTGTCTTTTTCCAACAGCTGAAAGAAGTGAATTCAAAGAAAATCTTGAAAGCTATGTTTTCACATGTATGGCCCAAAGACCGGCCTGATTTACGAGCAAGAGTTGCTATATCCCTTGGGCTTTTAGCCTGTGCAAAGGTAAGTGATCCTAGGGCCTTTATCCAGAAAACCATTAATCATGTCCACTGGGAGGCTGAAATAAGTGCCTGCATGTGGGAGGAATGACCCTATAGGTCACTTTTTTTTATCCAGATCAGTGGCAAAACAGTTTGGAAATATTGAAAATCACAGCATTTATACTCTGGTGCTCTTCTACTTGTACAAAATGTAATCTAAACTGGAGGCGGGGAGGCAGTGGCAGCAACATGTTTAACCCATTGTTTGTTACATTTATTAGCTTATCTGGATATTTAAAATTCTGTACATTTTTAAAAGAGCATTTCATAGCACCAGCTTAATTATCTTTGCTTCAGACACAACAGCAAATGCTTGGATTTTGCAGGTCCCATAGGTTTCTGCTAAAGTGCAGTGTGACAGGTTATTGTTTCATTTGAGACTGCCATTTAATGGTGCTGGCGATAATGTCACAATCTCTCTTTCCTCTTCTGCTTCTGTTTAATTGCTTCTTAAATTGAGTAGTATGTCTGTGTGTGTATATGTATATGTCTTTTATATATTTTGTTAGTCCAATAAGAAAGGTATCATTGCACACTGCAATACTGCGTTTTTGGTTTTTTTGACGTCTTGTCTACTGGACTAATACGGCTTACCCATTTATATTGCACTATATATATTTATATAT